TTCATGTAACGTTTTTAGGGAACAATATTTTATGTTCGGTTGTTGCTGTAACAGATCTGTATTCTCATTTTTATGCTCAGCGACACATGTATATATGCTCTCTACGGCTATAAAAGGAATATGTTTACCTACATGTTTTATACTGTATAAAAATCCAAAACATAGACGCGTACATAAGTGTGTGTATGAATACAGTACACAGCGAACAACGATGACTCTATTGATACGTTCGTCGTACGATCGTTCGTACGTCTATGCCTTACATACAGTAAAAAATATATAGGTAAACACATTCCTATGTCCGAGCCAGTGTTTGGCTTAATTCTGTAATTCCTCTAATGGTGAATCATTCGAATATTTTTCTAATCATTGAACGATGTTTTGGATATTATCCAATGAACAATTCGGTGTAATATGAGCAATCGTCTAATATCACAATTTAAGGACATGTGATCGTCAACAACTGCAATCGTGTGCCTTGAAAGGTCAACGAATTTGCTTATCATTAATTCGTTGAAGAGAGCATGACCTATTGACCTTTGTAAATTTTGACCTGATCAATGGAATTTCGATTTAATTGGTATCGCTTTATGTCTCTCGAATCATGGAACAATGAAATTATGAGAAATTGGCATTTATATTAAAATCAAATAATAATTAATTCGGAATTTCAATTTATTCCCCCTTTCTATAGGAAAGCTATGAGTAACATCATGAAGATTTTTCGTTCGAAACGAAAGGCATCCAAGAAAAAAAGGTTGTCCGATGAATCGAATGATGATGATCAAAACCAAACAGCAGCTGCTGGCCCATCGAACCGCCCGGCATCACCACCGATTTTCAAGCTGACGGTCGATTGCTGTGATGAAATATTTGACTATTGGTCAACGAAGGATTTACATTCATTTGGTCAAACATGCAAAGCAATGCAGAAAGTGGCCGGTGAATATTTCAAGCGGAATTGTGCTGGAGCTGAAAAATTCACCCGTGATGATGGCATTTACACATATTACTACGACCATGAAGGTGCATCCAATAAGCAAACGCTGACATCAGGTTTCAATCGATACATTACCAATATATCACATTACTACGATCACGGACGGGGCCCACTGCGTTACATTGAGTCGCACAGTGACGAATTAGATTCGGTCAACAATCTTTACCTCGTGTGCACAAGACTAAATAAGGAGAAGGCTGAATACTTTCGCAAGATTTTACCAAAAATTGAAAATTTAGCGATACATCAATGCTCAGCTTGGTGTGACATGTTTAATGATATATTGAAACTCTGTGAAAACGTGACGAATCTGTGGATTCAAGATGATCTTGGGGATATTATAAGCAGGAAGAAAAATCCATGGTTACTTCAAAATTACCCAAAACTCAAGCGCTTACATTTGGGTCCACGAAATGTGAACGAAATTAATGAGCTTGTCTCTTTTTTCGAACGAAATCCCAACGTGGACATATTTTCGACTAATTACCGTTGTTTCTGGGCGAATCGAAATCAGCTCATGGATTCCAAAGCAAAATTGGAGACGTTGTGTGTCGAAGATTTCCACTATGATACGATAGGAAATATGCATGAGATCTGCGATCTTCTGAAACAACTTCATGAGAAAGGCTTCTACAAGCGGCTGCATCTAAATTTTAGAGAGATAAGCCAACAGCTTTGCGATCAGATTATTCTGGTGCCCGGTCTCGAAAGACTACACTTCAAAAAATTCAACAAAATTTACAGTGTGCCTCAAATGGTCAGTTTGAAAGAGTTACATCTCCCTAGCGGCCTCAAAGCAAACGATATTCAGATCTTGTGAATCTCGAACAAGTTACAATCAGCTCCATATCGTCGAATGACCTGTTACCATTCATGCGTCATTCAAAGAAGTTGAGGAAACTCTATGCTTACCTCAATGAACGCACTCTCAACTTACCGAAATTGAACAAGGAACGTGAAAAGTCAGCCAATGCACGAAAGGTAATCATTTATGTCGGAGATGACATTTTCTTGGCAACAAAGTGGTCAACCCATTACGGAGAAACCATCATGAAATTAGTCGAAATGAGACGATGCAACGTGTATATGTGTTGCGTGTTCGATTGTTATAATCCGATGTTTATTCGAATGTGAATGTTCAATGACGTTTGAGTTCAGATAATTTGCAGGACACGGTGGTGCCACATTTCAATAAATTATTACACGAAATGACTTCAATTGGTTTTTTCAAAACTAAAAATGTT